CAGCTTCGTGTTTGTCCCCAGGGCCGCCCTGGACCCCTGCACTGGGATCTGCTTGGACCGGGCAGGAGCCAGCCAGAAGCACTGGAAGTGGCATGACTTCAGCCACCACGCTCACAGCCCTCCCTTCCAGTCCATCACCATGAAACTGAATGGCCACGTCACCATTAAAATCCTGGCTCAGGATCGAATTGACTTATCCTTCACCAGCCATAGCGATTGCATCCGTTTCAACGTGGGGTCCCGGCTCAAGGTGAGCGCTTGCTGGGGTAGCCCTGCCCTGCCGGCTCCTGCCTAGCAGCTGCTTGGAGAGCAGCAGCAGGGAAACCGCCCGGTGGAGATAAGCTTGGGGCTGCTGCATGGGACCGGTCACAAATTTTCAGGTGGAAAAATCACCGTTAAATTCAAAAGCAAATTTCCTGCCTGTGTGAATCTTAATGAAATTCCCTTCCAGGAAAGCATTTAGATAAGATTGAAATGCTGTCACTAAAGGGCAAGAACAGCACGTCTCTCAAATTCATTCTGAAACACTATTTCTTTTCAAAACGTTTACATTAAATGTCAATACAAACACAAAGCTCCTGATTTAATCTAAACAGCATTTCACTTAACATGAAACAAGCATCTGGGGAGAGGAGAGCCAAAATCCTTGGGTATCTGTTGTCACTCAGGTTTCCCACCTCTGACCCTTCCCTGGAGGTGGAAATGCTGTTTTGGCTGGGGCTCAGCCCTGCTCAGTGCCAGCGTGAGTGTCCCAGCCTACTGGTGTGCATCCCTGTCCTCCGCTGGATGCAAACGCAAGCGGTCAGCTCTGAAACGCAGGTCACACGTCACCATGCTTGGTTGGGGGCTGCGTCTTCAGGGCGAAGGATTCAAGTTGTGTTCCCCGGTGCAGGCACAAACCAAATATTGACAGCCCTCGTAGCAATAATCTATACATGGCCACAGATATATTGTTAACGGAAACAGGCATCTGGGGTAGCTATTCAGAGAGGTGGCGACAACCCAAGGTCAATATGCAGAACCATAAAGCACTGGCACCTGCTCTTTTATCCCTAAAATTCAGACTTCTTCGCAGGACCCATTGCTACGTTAGGTAGGGAAGGCATCTTCCTTGTCCCAGTACTTCTGGACAGCCCACTCCCACCAAAGGAGGCTAGAGCCATGAGTTTAGCTCCTCATTCCCCTTGTACGTGCGCTGGAAGAGGATCACCTCCAAGGGGGAGCCGTAGGGTTAGCGTGCTCCACGGGCATGGAGCATGGAAAGGGCACCCTGGACACACTACAGGGGTAAGCGTGAAAGGCTGGGCTACAAGGGGCGTGCTCCCACTCAGCCTGCCTTCAGGGGGCTCAGCATTAACGCTCTTTGCTTTGCACGGGCTCTCTTTGCAGTTGAAAGACCCAGAGACAAGGCACCTACTCCAGTGGCCAGAAAGTGAAGAGGAGCTCTTCCTTCAGTCTAAAAAGATTCAGCTCAGGAGCCTGCTGTCCAAAATACAGACAACGTTGCAATACTTTTGGCAACCCCTCTCTCAGTGATATCACTCCTTGTGTTTCATCATCTTCTGTCTGCATGGAATACTGAAGATATTAAGACTCACAGCAAGCAGTGACATCAGCATTTCAGATCACCTTTTCCTTCATCAAGGTGGTAACAGTCACTTTGCGATGAAAATAAAGCTCCTTTTTTCAAGCTCACAATGCCTATCTTCCTGTACATCAAGTCCTCGTAACACCAAGCTCGTCTCATTTGAAAGCACTTGATGGCTCGTTGTATGACAAGCGGGGTTACGCACCGAACGTGCAGTATTTTGAAGGAGATGGCTTCCTTCCTACAGGTGATGAACCCGACTTTGGGAACTTGTTGTACTAAGTGTGACTGACGAGCCCGCTTTGGCTCTCAGCCAGAGACACCCATGCTGGTGGAGAGGGGATGACAAACAGCAGCTTGGGTAAAGGCACCAGGGGTCATCCAAGGGAGGGAAGATCAGGGGCCTCTTGGGTGTCAGGGCTCCAGTTTGTGGTAGATGGTAAGTCCCATGGCTTAGTGGCACAGTTGGCCACCACTGAAAGGGGTCAACCGATTTTTGTTGTTGTTGTTGTTCTATTCAGACGTCAAAGATCTGATTTGCTCCACAGTGTTGGCTTGGTTTTAGTGTTCACTGAGGATAAAAATGCATGAAGGTAGGAGAAAGCAGCGTTTGTGAACACAGGGCTGGGTGTACCGGTAGTCACCACAAGAGTTGCTGCAGCAGCACAGATGTTTTCCCCTTTTTCTATCCACAGCACTTTGTCAACACCAAACATGCACAGTTTGAGGAAGGGACTATTGGTTTTGCTTGGAAAACACCCGGCACAGCATAAGCTATGCTGCGGGTATCACTGTTGTACAAAAAGAAGCGTGAAAGCCTGGCCAGCTGCTTTGGAATTCTCTTCATTAACGAGATACAATCCAAAGGGCCAAAACTCTTTAGGAGGCTCCAAGCACCTAGGAAGCAATGGTCACACATTGCTGCCCCACGCCAGTCAGATAGAAATTGAATTCCACAAAAAAAAGAGCATTTTTCCTTAGGTTAGTTCATTCATATGACATTGTCAAAGCCAGAGGGTGAACGGAAGCTTCACGCTGACACTACAGGGGACAAACCACAAGCCTCTGGATGATGTGTTTCTACACCACCAAGGGCCAGAAGAACAGCATATGGTAATGAGAAACTATGGGTAGATGAGTCCACGAGTAACCAGGCAACGAGAACAGCTATCAAATACAATACTTGTGATTTCTGCCACCAGCTCCCAAGTTTTCTCTTAGTAAAAGCCAACTAGTTAATATATGTTCTTGTATTACAGTTGTGGTTTCTTCCCCCAACAAAATTGCGAGCATTTAGTCACACAAGATCATTTGTCAGTAAAGAAAATACAAATTTGCTTTTATTATAACCATAAAGAGGCATTACTTTAACAATTAGCTGTACATCCAGCACTCAGGTATACATCTGTGCCAAATAAAGACAATTCTCTTACTGCTAAAAAAGAACACTTCTCAGCAATGCATCGCCTGTGCTTACAGGATGTTTATTGTCTCTGTATTACAGTTATCTTGACAGACAAGCCTCAGATTACAGAATAAAGCTTTACTCTTGGACCAAAATAGGAGGCAACATTTTCATTTAAAAAAATTAAAAACAGCAAGTTTCTAGTCAGATAATATAAAGCATCTTAAATTAATCTTTTGAAAGTATTTACACTATTTGTAAACGTAAATATCTGAAACTGTACATGTTTAAACAAACGTTCATTTAGCAAACAGGCTGTATAAACTGATTGCTCTTCTAATCTTTCAACCAGCTGTCCTAGAGCTGTCTGGGTACTCTAAGGGAGAGAAGACCCCACGCACAAGTGACTACTGCAATGGTTTACCCTTCACGTCTTTTCTGTACAACACCTGTATTATGTCAATCATAACTGTACAGCGACCATGCAGTCCTTCTGAAAAACTTTATAAAAAACAAATATACATATATTACAATGCACTGGACATTATTTTACAGCCTGTATTTCTACAGAAATAAAAAGAAAGGGCAAGTTTTCTTCCTTGTTAGTTCCTTTAGTTAATTTTTAAGGAGCCAAGTAAGGTCCTACGAGTACCATTTATGTACCTCAGCACCACTGCTGCAACACTTCTCGTGGTAGCTTTAAATCCTACCACCTTAGTCTCCAGCCATGTGATTTATAACAGGAAAATTATTAAATCAAAACACCACCAATGTGCATGGAAATTTCTACATATTTAAAACCACAGAACAGGTTTTATAAATAAGTTAAAAATCTGCCATGCGTCACCACATTTTTCTTTTGCAGTGCTGCACAATAAAGACTTACACCCCAAGACACCCTAAAGCTGCTTGTAGCGTTTCATTCGAGTAATGGCCACTGTTTAGCGTTCAGCTTTCCGAAATAATGACCAATTACTGCACACTAAACCTCATGCATTGTTTACCAGTTACTGAGTACTTATCCCTTGTTCACCATGCTGATTTGACAGGTTTGCACGTTTCTGGCATCCCCACACACCCTTATTAGCACTTATTCCAGCGCACGAAGGCTGTACAAGTCCCAGTCCCCGCTTTAAACAATGTGGCACCACCTTGGTGCAAGGCAAAAAACCAACGCTGACCTAGAACTAAGCACCTGAGAATCTCAATGCTAAGCTTTGCTGTAAAGCATCTGAAAATATGCAGTTCCCTCAGAAACAAGAGACATGATATTGCACAGCTTTCCACTGCAAATCCCAAGGAACTGAGATTCTTTACCTGGAGGAAGGTTAGAGCATGAAACTTCAGGTCAGACCTCACAGCTCCCAGTCACAACAGTATAAGGAAAACGGCACATCCAGTGTTTCAAGGAATGCTTCACATGTGGGAAATAAAGTTTTCCCAACTAAGAACCTCTGAATTATGTTCAAGCACGTGGTGGATTACCAGGATTTTCGGGGGAGTTAAAGAAAAATTGGAGCATGCCTGCTTAAGCCAAATTGTCATACCAATGTGCTTATCTCCAAGCCTTGCAAATACCTATTACCGCTCCCATTTGATTCCCTGCACTTTATTTCCAACGTGTCTTTGAAAGCGCGGCTTTTCACTGCATACATCAGCTTATTAAAGGAAAGCAAGAAAGGTTTTTACATAAAAAAAACAGGATTTCAACTTTGAAAACATCTGGATAAGGCAGTAACTGAGCTTCCACAACAGTGATCAGCAAAGGGTTTTTTGTTTTGTTTTCTTCCCCCCTGCTTCTCAAGCCAATGAACAGGAAGACCTTTAACAAATCAATAAAACTTTTTTTTCCTGTTTTTCCTAAAACAGGGGTAAGCAGCCTGGATAGTTTTGATGCAGACTGGACTGCACAGTGGGATCCTTCGTTTACTTCAAGCAAATGTCTTCGCGTTCCCTTCACTGCCTGGCATTCAGCTGAAGCTTATTTCAAGCAGCCTCACTGTTGGGCTACTTGGACATCGATAGAAGTAAGTTCACCTGAAAGATGAAAGCCTACATTAGACAGAGCAGCTAAGTCTCAGAATTGATGTCTTATATTTTAACCTTTAAACAGGATTCCTAGGAAACACACAGAGTCTTGGATGAATCAGAAGACAGCTACAAAACAAGACAGCCAAAATTTCCAGTCAAACGCTTACTCACAGTCTTTTTAAAATGCAATTGTTGACCATGCTTACTAGTCATTTCAGCAGTCACAACCTACTGTGTCAAAGTTTCTAAGATGACTTCCTACATTGTCAAGAATTCCAAAAAAATGGCAAAAAATGTTAACATTCATCTTAGATATCTGAAACACATTTGGGATCCTTCGCTGTACTTGTTTCCCACAGATGACAATATGGTTTCCCATACACTTCAGTTTGTAGGAGAAGTGATCCCAAGGATTAACAGATAAACAATTAGAGGAAGCCACCTCCTCCAGGATAGCCCCACCTCCTTCCAGTGCATCACGCCCACTCTGTGCTCCACGCTAGTTATCACACCTCCCTGTGGCCACATTCACTGCAGGCAACGTCCTCTAATCTGTAAACTAGACTATCTGTTTAAATATTGGCATCCTGGGATAATCATGATTCTATCCACATTCCCTGGACCACTAAGGTCAAAGCGAGATTTTTAAAAACCTACTTGGTTTCTGCCAGAGCATCCTAATACAGAGAATTCTTAACCCCAATCATCTCTGGGACTAAAGACCTTATCATGTAGGGTTACATTTCCATAAACATCTGCACATTTTCCCAATGCAATTTAGTTCAAATGAACCCTTGTAATTCTTTCTCATGCTTCCTAAACGTAAAAGTTGCTGCTTCTTGTATTTGTCAAAAGCAAGACTGCCTTCACACACAGAGGCTTTTTTTAAAGCGTATTCACTAGCTTTGATATCTCTCCAAAAAAGACAGTGCCCAGAAAAGGCAAGACTCTGCCATGATGTTGTACAACTCAATCCCCAGCGACATCAACCACCACCTTCAGTTTAACAACTCTACTGGACATTCACTAAAAAAAACCAAACAAAACCCCCTTTTAGCTGAGAGCCTGGAGTGCAGACGAAGCCCTGAGTTTAACCATCCAGGACTAAGAGGGATAATAAATAAATAAATAAATAACGATTCTGAACACTGAAAATACTAAAAATGAAAAATTAATATTTAAAAAAAGCCAGTCACATGAAAGAGCAACTGATAAAACAGGGAGCCTCAATATATACCTGTTCCATTGAAGGACAAGCTATGATCTGGAGATCTTCATTACTAAATTCTTCCTTTAACACAGCATGGAGTTTCTGGAACATTTGCTGAATGTTATTCTTTTAAAGGAAAGAAGAAAAAACTCAATAGTAAAAACACACAACACCCATCTCAAACACGAAACACAATAAGCACAATGTACATGGAATAGTTACTGAAGTGACCACGTAGGGAGAAACAGTCAAGCTTTAAGAGCTTTTCTTTTAAAACAAGCCCCAAAACAGCCACAAAGAACCCATGTTGGCTGTGAGATAAGAACTTCAGCTAAGATGAGCTAAGCTGAAACACTGAGTCCTACAGACTTAACCTGGAAGCTTAAAGCTCAAGCTTAGTTCTTTCTGGTGGGTTTACAGTGGGTTTTCCACTGAATCTGTATCATACTCTCTGCCTCCAGTGCTTTTGCCCATGCATAACTGACCAAGTTGTACTGGTTTTGGCTGGAATAGAGTTAACGTTCGTTATTTACCATATTCACCATATGGTGCCAACTAGAAGATGTGCAGAATGAACAGACCCAGTTGCTTCCCTGTAACGTGTGTGTGTGATGTAGGCTGAGTACAATGAAGAACAGAACAGCTTTTTTTTTTTAAGCTTAACATATGATTATAAAACATATTATTAGATTTTTACTTTTTTTTACCCCATGTGTCTTTTCAACAGGCTTCTCAGATCAGGGACACCACATTGTCTGTAATAGTCTGCTCACTATTACATGTGCGTGGTTTTTGTCACATGTTTACTGGCTGGATTGGTAGCCTAGTATAACTCTACAGATATACGGATATGTGTATGTATGTGTGTCTGTATATATACACCTATAAACATATGCATACATACATTTATATAGATATATTATACATATAACCATACACGCACAGAAGTATAAGGTGAACGATCCCACAAAATGTGTTTAAAGTCTTTAACTAAATGAAGGCCCAACACCTATAGGAAAACAAGCTGAAGTACATCTAGCAATACTCACCCTAACTGGCTTAAACAAAATTAATTCTGTATCTTTATTGGACAAGTACAACGACATGCTTCGTAACGTTGACGGCAGCTTTGTTTTTATTGTCTTATAAGTGGAAGAGACCAGATCGTTGATCTTTGCTGAAAGTAAAAGAAAACATGCTTAATAGGCTAAAATGGCATTCTGCTAGCTGAAATTTACACTCCGGAATATCACCTCCACTTCACTAGGGCTGATCATAACCACGGGGTTGAATGAAAGGGAATGAGGGGCTGTGCAGCATCAACCCATCATCCGACCACAATATCCCAGACAAGACTTTTTTTTGGGACCTACTCAAGACATCAGCCCCTCTTTCCCTGCAGAAAATGCATCCAACCCATTTCTGCAAGCTACCACATCCTCCTGAGGTTCCTGAAGTCACAGCCTTCCAACAGCAACAAAGGTCTACATAGGCTCCCCCCTAGAAAACTTGCCTGGAAAAGAAACTGCCAGGAAATAAACAGTGCTAGTAAAGAGAATAGCATATCACAAATTCTCCTTACTGACCACAGGCCATGTCTGTAAGAAGAAACGCTGCACAGCCATCTGGATTTTGAATCAACCAGACAGGAACCCTCTCTCACACAAGATCTTCTTTCTTTATTGCTGGGTATTTTAATGATTTTACAAGATCTTTGCTTAAAGGGCAGGAGAAAAATACATTTCATAGCTTTAAAGTACCAAAGTTAACATACTATGTTCATTTTTTTCCTCAATTTCTACTGTATCTAAATTTTCTGCCTACTCCTGCTTCCCAGACAAATGACTCCAAAAAACAGCAGAAGCTCTACTTAGATCTGCCTCTACACACATAATTATCTCCAAACAAACATTAAAAATACTCCTGAAGAAGCAGGAGATGTTAAGTAGAAGCTCAAGTTAGCCCTTGAGAGTGTCTGACCCATGGAGCAGCACTGAATTATGAATGAACGTGGCTGGCTTTGCATTTTAAGAACATGATGCAACAGAAGGCTCCAATGTATGAATTGGAATAATCATATTTCTCAGTGTCACCCTGTCACCCTGTTTGTGATGTGAAGAGCAAAACAACCCAGGAACATCTAAACTACTACAAATGTTCCTATGAAGCATTCACATTTGAATTCTTAAGAAGAGGGAAACAAAGCTGGATTCCATTTTTGCACAGTGACTGGAAAACTGAAATGGAAGTAGGTACCAAATGTACAGACAATAAAAGCTTCAATGCAGATTCATTTTTTCCTACAAAAGCAGAAGCTTTATCTTAATGTAATCAAATAATTCCTTAAGCACGTTCCATATGCAGTTGCGGAAATGCTGTTTTCATGCAAGAACAGTCACAGCTTGAGAAATACTCAAGTCATTCATCTACTGCACCAATTAAATACATATTCTGAAGTTTGTCAGGTTTCGATTTAGAGGTATCTTAAGACATTTAAACTAGCACATAGGTAAAAATGGAAGCCAGGATTTTCAAGAAAAAGATAGACAGTTCTTAGGTACTTAAAATTTTTCCAAATCAATCACAGTCCACATTAATCCGGTCAGCTTTTCACATTCCTATGTTTTAGAAGTCAGGCACAGAAACAAATGACATTCTGAACTACTCAAGCCCCATATAATGCTGCTTATATTGCTCGACCAAAAATGGTGAATGGAAAGGGTCTTTTTCAAGTCTTTAGAAGAAGTCTCAAAGTAGTAAATGATCATGGCTTTATTAGCCTACAAGCACCTCAGAGGTAACATGAATATAAAACAAAGCAAATACCTGGTTGCGCCCAAGGTTGCTGCGAAAGGCTGTACTTGGGACCCCCCTGAGTGGCCATTGTTTTTAAAGCAGCTACCTAGAACAAGTACAATCAACAAAACGATGTTTCTTTCAGTTGAATTCACAAGAAAGTGACCAAGTAACATTTACACAAGTCTCAGATACTGCAGCGTATGGAACCTCCCCTGCTTTCTCTCTTCTGTGCCCTGACTTAACAACACACAGGTGAAGCAGCTTGACAGAAATGCAATTCAAAATTACAACCATGATCACTTCTTGAAAGTAAAATTTGAAATGGGATTAAATTTACAAAGACGCTTAGGCACAAAACCTCAAAAGAGATTTATCCTTAAGCAGGTTAGTCAAACTCCCCAGATTCCCAATGAATCACTGGGATCACTTGGACAATCTATCAATCTCACCAGTTACCCATCTATATTTTGGGTATGCCAGTGGCCCCTCACCCCAGCATGACAGACATCAGTAAATTTAATACTGTAATCTTCAAAATTCTCAAAAAACAGCAGCTGGGATATTTGTGATGTCCATGCAATGCTGTAGCCCCAGTTTCTGAGATGTCACACCACTTATGTGGACATACAGGAACATTTTTGTTCCTGTCCTCTAGGATGCCTCATCTTTCTGACCAACTTTTATCAGGAATTTCTGTCACAAACAGGACTTGGGAGGAAAGTCCTGCTCAGCAAGCGCCTCAGTGGTATAAAATATGCTGAGAACAGAAACTTTTAACACACTTCACAGCCATACTCTAAGACCTCCCTCAAGAACACACATAACCCAAAATTGTTTTTGAAGGCTTACAAATTCAGTCAAGGCAGGAGTTTTCCTGCAAACAGAAAAACTCCTGCCAACTGTCACAGACCTGTTTCAACTCAAGGAAACATGAAAGCTTCTTGATCGAAGAGTGTAAGCGTCGCTTTTAAAAACAAACTATGTCATGTTTCTTTAATCCATCAATCTCAAAAATGCTTGAAAAATTATTGCTGGAACTTAAAAGGGAAGCATGACCTTATAATGGGAAACGCCATCATCTTCAGCTAATCAGACAGAACTAGCAGTTTCTCCTATACCCAACTTAAATCCCAATTCCTTTGTCCTACCAGTATTTCAGTTAGGTTAACGAACATACAACATGGTTGTACCTTTGTCATGAACTCCTCCAGCTGTTCTATAAACTGTTTGGTTTGCTGCTGAATAAATTGCTCACAAGCTGATTTCAGGTGACGATCTACATCTTTCTTAGAGTCGATATAATGTTCTCTGATTTCTGGAGTACCCTTGAACAGAAAACAATTTTCTCCTTTTTATTTGCCAGAGATCACCACCCGCTTAAATGACCCAATTTTTCTTAACGCAGTAAGACTCCATATTACCTCCAGTAAGAACTGTATCAAGGCGTTGTTGCTGTTTAGTCTAAAAAATCTTGAAACTGCCTTAGGGTTCAGGATTTTAAATGCTGCATCTGTGAATCAGAAAGTCACTCACGCTGTAAGTCAATAAGATCCAGCTCCAGGAATTAAAAACTTTAATCATTCATTTACACATAAAAACACCTAGTATGATTCCACTACCGCTAGGTGTGGATGCACAATTGCACATGCACAGAAGCACACAAAGCTCGATCCACTATTTTTTAATTGCATCTATGGTGAACCTGCATCTAACAGTTGCAGAGTCTGAACAGATAAATACATTACATGACCCTAACATGTGACTGAAACTAGCTATAGTGCTACCAGCACACAAATTATGTGAGCTCTTTTCCTTTCGTAACTATATCTACAAGTGAAAGACTTTTACATAAGCTATGTAGTTAAGCATTTACGAACAATACGCAGAATTTGGCCCATGTTGCCTGGGAAAACCAAGTACAGTTGCATGAAATAACTTCGAACTGGCACTCTTTTCCTGTGTGCTTAATTATTTTAGTTAGGACTAAACAACAAAACATCAAGGTTGATATACACTCATGTTTATGGTCTCTACAGATGTCCCAAGAAGGAAAAGCAACAGTGTCTGTAATTAACACATGATACTAAAAAGATTCCTATAGTGTTACCAAGATGTTGTCAACCTGAAATCTAGTCAAATTGGGAAAAAGAAAATTATCAACACAGTTTCAGCATGGCTTATTACCCTAACGCCATTCATTTCTCATCCTACACATCCATCTGCTTTTTTTTTTTTTTATTTCAAAAGCAATTCTGCACCCCTCTTGCTGTATAAAACAATGGGAGGGAAACAAGACATAAGAGTTAAAGAAGTTGTCCTGGTTTCAGCTGGGATAGAGTTAATTTTCTTCCTAGTAGCTGGTATAGTGCTGTGTTTTGGATTTAGGATGAGAATAATGTTGATAACACACTGATGTTTTAGTTGTTGCTAAGCAGTGCTTACACTAGGCAAGGACTTTTCAGCTTTGCCTGCCCGGCCGGTGAGAAGCTGGGAGGGGGCACAGCCAGGACAGCTGACCCAGACCGGCCAAAGGGCTATTCCATACTGTATAACGTCATGCTCAGTATATAAACTGGGGGAATTGGCTGGGGGGCAGCGATTGCTGCTCATGGATGAGCTGGGCATCAGTCGGCGGGTAGTGAGCAATTGTAGCGTGTATCACTTGCTTTGTATATTATTATATTATTATTACTACTACTACTCTTTTATTTTACTTCAATTATTAAACTGTTCTTATCTCAACCCACGAGTTTTCTCACTTTTACCCTTCCAATTCTCTCCCCCATCCCACTGGCGCGGGGAGTGAGCGAGCAGCTGTGTGGTGCTTAGTTGCTGGCTGGGGTTAAACCACAACAGAAGTGCTGTCAAAGGCATTAAACAAAGAGGGAATACCAGATATGTAGGAGTGTAAGTTTTGCACTGAACTAAGAATCCACACTCCTATGCAGTTATAGGAGACCACGAAGATAGATTCATTTTGTTCTCTGAATTATTACCCAGAAACTTCACTGATTCCGAACAGAGCTTAAGTTCTTGATTAGAAGCCTATGAGCTAATCAGTGTGAAAGTCACTTTTCCCCATTGTATACTTCAGTTACATGAACCTTAGCATTATAGTACCTTAAAAAGAAAAAAATTGGGTAGAAGCAGGACTTTTACATTAAGCAGTGTCCCTTTGTCTATAAATCCCAAATTAAATCTTAAATCTATGTGCAGAAAGCTTGGCTAGAACACAGTAAAACTCCTATTAGCCATGTTATTTTTCTTCTACAACTCATCCCAAATATAAAAGCCCTACTGACCTACGCTACAGTACATTAAGAATTAAGCACAATGTACATCTTTTCATCACCACCACCACCGCCCAATATAAAAAAGTGTTTTCCATTACTTACCACTACCACCTCCAAAGCACTGGCTGGCACAAAAATTTATTCAATTAAATGAAAATGGAGAACAAACTTGTGTGTCAGCCAGGACAAGACACCAAAAGGATGTATTTGCCCTTTAACCTCCAGTCAACTAGAAACTACTCAACAGGTGGGAGGTTTCATTGATGTTCAAATGCAACAGGTGAAATGGTTAGTGTAAGAATGGCTTGCTTCAGAGTTAAAACAGCAGTGTATTAGATGGCAGGAAAGAAAAGTTATTTCTTCAGCTTTCTCTTTGGAATGGAAGAGAAACTTGACATGCTTCCAATTATTTTTCCCCATTACCTTTATAAACTTGACAAGTGCATGATGGTTCACTTTTGTATTGAGAGGGTTTTTTCTGCATTTTACAAAGGAAACATAGTATAATTTTAAAAATCATGACGGTGGCCACTACTCTCTATTTTCCCTTCCTGCAACAGATACAGTTGCTACATAAAACTATTCAGCAATACTGCTTATTGAACTTGCAACATAAGAAATCCTTTCCAAAACAAAACCTCACAGAAAAGTCTAGGAAATCTTAATTTGTTCTAGACAAGTCAACTATGCATTGTCAAATTCACCTGCTAAACAGCAGTAGCAAAAGATATTCCTTTAAAGGGTCAGAAAAGGGGAAAGACATCTGTGTGCAATAGAAATGTAGATAACTTAGCTGTTCTTAAAAAGGACTGGATAAATAAGTTAGGTCAGCAGCAAAAAGCAGTCAAATGCATTCCATACAAAAATAAAGAATTTGTTAGGTACATCTGGAATCGCCCTGAATAAGAGAATGGTTTTGGTTTTTTTTCAGAGAAGATAAGAACAAAGCAAGAGATTAGAACAAGCATACAGGTCATTGCAAATGAACATAAAATAAACCCAGAACTTTTGCTGGCACATTAAGGGAGGACAATCCCATCCCATTTCTGTAGCCAGCAACTGTTTAGTACCTCTAGTTTTCTTAAGGTCCAGGGAAATTTCCTTAATGGTGAAATCAGTGTGGAAAGGAGCAATTTGTTCACGAAGAATCAAAAGGTGTTTTATTAAGAAAAGCTGTCCATCAACCTGGGTCTACAGCACAAGAAAAAGAACATGCATTACATGGAAAAAAAAAAACACAACAAAACCAAAACAATTAAATGAAGAGCAAAGTTTCAACACCTCCGCTTTTATTAGTTACTTCCTATAACAAAGTTAATACTAATAGTCTTACTAACAAGCTTTTTCTGTTAGTCTGTAGTGCCATTAACTACACTCTGGGATCAACAAATCCTACTTCTGTACTGTTCCTAACACATTGCTCTACAGAAGCAGACTTCATTCACATTTCTTAGAAGAATTAGATTAGACAGCCATATTACTAAATGTCCACATTAAGTACAGATATCCATTACTTGAAAGATACAAACTGATTCTTCGTAAGAGCCAGGAATTATTTCATGTAATTCATATAATTTATAGTTGAAAGACATGAGGTTCTAAAATTTTTTTAATGATTAAAAAAAAGCCAAACAGTCAATGTTTCTGTAATAATCTTGATTAACTGTGCTATTGTGCAAAGGTCTTAAGAAGCATTTTTCTCATGTCATTAAACGCAAAGCTTAGTTAATTTCTAAACAGTACAGCAAAGATACAAAGAATAACACAAGGCCAAGTTCACACCACCAAGATGATCTGTTTTACACCCCTTGTTATTTTATCTATGTGCTTTATACTGTGTGCTGCTTTTAATCTTTGACGTTCATGGCTCATTGAGGTAAATGGAGGAGGACTCAAGAACTCAACTTTGCTTTTGCAAGCTGGAAGAGAACTTTCCTTGATACAATGTTAAATAAAACAGTAAAGAAGAAATTAGATTTAAATCTGCAGTGTAAACAAATAGAAATGTTTACTAAAAATAACTGGTGGAAGGGTTTCTTGAGGTTTTTGGGGGGTTTTTTGTTTGTGTTTTTTTTTTTATTCTTACATGCACAGTTTCACCTGATAACGTTAAATTAACATGCATCAAGAACAAAGTAGTACAGATCCTAGTCCTGGGCCAACCTGTCTAGGGTTTATGATCCTGCATCACTGCAGGATGAGTTTCATTGTCTGCAATACTTTAAGTCAATGCTGACCCAATATGCAGCGCTGGAATGGACAATTAACTGTAAAACTCTGAATCAATTACATATTAAAAAGTTATCTGTTCAAGCTAGAAGGAAACGTGGTCTGAATTTCTTTTTAAAAGATACTACGTTTAACAAATATTTTTCAAAGGACATTCAAAAGAAATACTTCAAAATAGCTCTTAATTTCTAATGGCCACTAAAACTTTTTTCATTACTAAATATTTACTGCTTATACAAATCCAACAATTTTAGCCTACTAAGACTTTCCTTTTTTTTTTTTTTTTTTTTAAATTCACTTCCTGGCTGTTAGGAATTAGCAAATTACTATGGTATTTGTATTAAAGGAACTGTGACGGGAAAAAAGAAGGTTTACTCCAACTACTTTGAAGTAACACTTAGAATGATTTGATGAAACTGCATTGAGTTCTGAGCAACACATCAGATCAAACCTTTTGATAACAGACAGTTCTGAGTGGAGAATACTTAATAAATCTTCCCAGTGAATTTAATACTTAGATTTTTGAAAATTCAAACAACGGAGGCAGAGAGAAAGAGAAAAGAGTAACAGGCAGTGAAAACAAATATAGGGAGCAGAGACTTCTAGCAGAAATTTTTCTTTAGGTTATCACTTGATTGAATTCACATGAGTCATGAGTCAGAACAGCCTGTAAACACGATTGCTACGCTTTGTATTCCACCTTTTCAGATAGGCTAGCATGTGAATCATCATCTTTGCTTTACAATACATTAACTGTAACTAAAAGCTGGCAAATCCATCAGGTCTCTGGGGGCAGAGCAACATGCTTTCACTACGATTTCAACAGAATCCTGAACAACTGCTTCATGGCTTTAGACATACATGGGGGCAGGGGGAAGGAAATCATAACCAAAGCACAGATTCTGACCTTGTTTTTGCTGATAGAATCAGCAGCTCCCAGCAGCGAGTGGATGCAGGCGGATAAGGCCTCTTGCGATAATCCCTGAAACACTGCCCTCTGCAGGGAAGAGGAAATCAGACCAAAAAAAAGGTGTTAGCAAAGCTTAAGCAGAATTTTAAGAGTTGTAGCTTGTGAAGGATGTGCTTGCCAGCACATAAAACCCCAGATTAGTTAGCTACAAACATGTTGTCTAAATGCAACAAGACAGGATGAAGCATTCACATATAAAAGCTTGCTACAGCACTTACTTAGACTGGATACAGGTATACACTCAAGCATGCCCTGTTCATCCTCCGGCTCTGAATTTGCACCCGGGTAGTGACATGGTCAATGATACCTAATGCATTCACAGCTAACGGCATGAACGATGCTTACTGGGTAACATGACTAGACACTTCATGTGTCAGGGTAACTATCTGTGTGCGCAGGTTATACTTGCAATAGATGTGAGATCATTCGAGTGAGCTTAACCTCAAGCAAACTCAAATTACCTCACGTTTGCGCCAAGTTAGCAAACAAACATGACAGCTGCCACGGCCCAGGTGACACGGAGTAACTCATAAAGCTGCAGCAACTGGATCATACGGCTGAGCTAGCCGTAGGAACACAGCTCGCCTCCACCAGCACTCCAACGTAGCCCATGACAGCCCTGACTGCCCCAAGACTTGCTGGTGACACTTCATTCATGTCTTCTCCTATCTACAGGGTGCAGGCAAGACATACCAGTCCTGCTAGAATATCTCAGTGAAAAAATAAATAAATCACTGTGCAGACATGCTATTAATGAGCCTTGCAAACAACGCAAAACCAACCTCATCTCTAAAGGTCTAGCTGAAAACAAGGGCAAATACCCATTTATCTTTAATGAGATTGATATATTAAGCAATAAAGTATTAATATTTTCCAGTTTCTTTTTAAGCAAATAGCACCTTGGTAGCAGTTTCACATAGCACCTATCAAAGATATTTGGAAATGCATTAAATGTATCTAATAAAAAGATACAACACATAACAGAAAAGCAAAAACACTCGCATTATGTTTCTCAGAGACTTATTTGCCTTTCATGCTATTAGGTGACAGACATAAATCAGATTCTAAAGGGCAAGTCTCAAAATACTTGTGAAGTAAACACCGCTTTTGTTTCTGTTAGACATGAAGATTCCTACTGTCTTAAACTTTGGAAATGTCTCCTACATTGTGGAAGGTGAAAAGATGTGCCACAAAAAATTGAGAACATTTCCAAAATGTAGAACAGTCACCATTTTTAAGACCAGAAACATCACCTTGTCTGGAGCGTGTCCAGAGGAGGGCAACGAAGTTGGTGAAGGGTCTAGAGCACAAGTCTTATGAGGAGCGGCTGAGGGAGCTGGGGTTGTTTAGTCTGGAGAAGGGGAGGCTGAGGGAAGACCTTATTGCTCTCTACAACTACCTGAAAGGAGGTTGTAGCCAGGTGGGGGGCGGTCTCTTCTACCTAGTAAC